TCTAAATCCTTTCAGCCCTTTCCTCCTTTTGCTATATGATATCCAAAAAGAAATTTATAAAATATTACTCAAATTACAAGTTCAGCAATGTCAAAGAGCCTTCTCCTTTTTTAACATTTCAGCATGAATGTGAGAACATATACCATGAAAATTTAATTTGAAAACCTATCCTTTAAATTTTGAAAGAAATGCACTTATGTCTCCTTCCTCTCATTTTGCCAAGTGATAAAACCCAGCATATTGTACCCCAAGTCATGCATTATTACATAGTGCAGGTTTACAAAACCACTAAATCACACCGTGTTATTTAGGGGGAAATATCATTATAGTGGAATAGAAAGAAGCCACAAAGTAGAAGATGTGTGACTGAAATAAATCAAATACAAGTCTGCCTAGTGAAAGATTTTTTGAGGGCAGAATCAAAATACGTCTAAATGACTATGAAGACTAATTTGATTTGAGAATATGACAGCATGTCCATATTGCATGGTAAGATAGACAATTTGACTGTAAATATTTATCAATTTACTAATAAAGCCACAGGCTCAACATGTACACATTATAAGCAACTACCACCTCAAAACAAACCACATGTTTAAAATCACCTATATATAAGAGGATATTCAATCAGATCTTTCAAACACCCTAGAAATTTGAGAGACTTTAAGTCACAGATATTTAATTCCTTCTATAACTTTTAGATATGTTGAAATTAAATTGTTGATTTAGTGCCTGTAACTAAGTGATAAAAAGGTGCAAATGGAAAAAATCTGTAATAGTGGATATTACCAAAGATATTTAAATGAGTTAAGTTTCTGAAATAGCCTAGTAAAAGGGGCTTTGCTTGTATTAGATTTTGAAAGCCCTACATTAAAGGACTTTCTTCCTTTATCTCTTCCTATATTGCAGCAGAGTCGTGTTTCTCTGGGTCTTTACCTAGTGCAGATCCCAATTTTCTGACTGTGAAGAGCCACTGAAGTTAGACTTGAACTTCTGTACTGTGATTTGGTTAGAGTATTGCTACTTGGCTTAAATTAAAATGCAAAATAAGGCTCTTATTTACATTTCAAAAAGTGACTGAGCACAGGGATCCAAGGAATTAGCAAAAGTGGTGATGAAGCCAGAGATAAGATTGGTTTGCTTTGTTTACAGTGGCAGCAAAGATTGCTGGGGTGTCTCTCACTAAAGTGCTGTTTTCCCCCTTTCTTTCCTCCTTTCCAATAACGTTATTTAAGCTGTTACTGAGATAACTGTGTAAAGCTCTGAAGCCAAGGTGGATGTCCCTATTCTTATGCTCCATTTCATTCTGTGACAGCAAGTCTGCTTAGGATGCTGTATGATTAGCAAAAAATGAAAACTGGAGAATTCTCTTTCAGTGACCCTAATGCTTGTCTGTTTTTACATAGGTGCGTGCTAGTGCAATTGCCCAAGATGCTGATCAGAATTACGACTATGCCAGTAACAGTGTGGTTCTTCATCTGGAACCAGGAGATGAAGTCTATATCAAATTAGATGGTGGGAAAGCCCACGGAGGAAACAACAACAAATACAGCACATTTTCTGGATTTATTATTTATGCTGACTGATAATGCCGAAACTAAGCTTATTATTCTGAGTCTGAACACTGGATTCGTGTGGCTAACGTCAGTGAATGAAGGATCCCAGGGGATGCACCTCAGTTGTGTATATGTGGGGAGAATCAAATGCTACCTGACTCACATCTGTATCACTCAGAAACATTATGTAAAAAAAAAATATTTAAAGCAAGATAAGCAGATGTGTGATCCACTACCGCCAAAGCAAATACTCCTTGTTAGTGTCCATGTGAATGAAGTCCTATATAGATCACAAATTTTTATAGAAAAATCTAAGACATTGAATTATTTCTTCAATATATATGATACTTTGGTGTACTATGATCTTGCTGCTTTTATCCATGTCAGCTTTGGTTCTTGTGAGTTTACCTGCTTATTATGATACTTGGAGTCCATTCATAGTGTAGGGAAGAATCAGCTCACCCTGCAGGAGAAGGTCTAACTGAAGTACTACTGCTTGTCCCCAAAGAAATTGTTTGCCTTGTACTCTTGTTAAGTTTAGAGCTAGACCTGGGAATGATTCAACTTCAAGCCTTAACCTGGAATTTTCTGGATCTGTGGGAATTCCCAAGCCTATGATCATTTTCACAATTTTCTTTTCTTACAGAATTTTTTTTTTCTTTTCTGGTGATAGTCATTAAAAATTAGAGTTTGAAACTGTATCATAGGATTACTCTGTAAGTGTGAAAATGTGTAATTATGTATGGTACTTAGAAAATCCCTTATGTGTCCATTCTGTCAACAGAATACATTTAGATTTACTTGGAAAGTCAGAGAAATTTATTCTTTGGTATTAAAACAGACTGAGGCTCTTGCCTTCTTTGGAACAAAAGATTATTCATAACCCAGTGCACAAAGGGTTAATCTGAGCTACTGCATGCACCACCGAGGGGACACTAAGTAAGGCCTTCAAACAGTTACTACAAATCTGTGGCCTGAGGTTATCTCAGAATTAACAATTTCACATATAACCAGTATGACAACAGTGTATATATTTTATATAAATACCCACCGCACACATATTTATATACATATACATGTATATGTTAGATGAAATATTATATACGTATATGGCTTCAGTCCCTGACGTACAGTGGCTGTAGAGCTTCAAAAATTTAATTTAAAAAATATATGTGTATACACACACAGAAACACGCATAAATTACTGGACTTATTTTGGATCAAAATATATTTTAGGTGACAAAAATATATGGAGTAGCAAAATAATTAAAGTGACTTCTCTTTAAGAGTTATCCAGAAAATTAAAATTTAGTAGGTTAAAGTGCCCTACACGTCACATGTGTGACTTAGGCCTATGGTTGCCTCATTACCATATGCCAATCAATACTTGTACTGCATTCTCTGGCAGATTGTAACATCAGGACTGCAGCAACAAAGTGCTGTCCTTCACAGTGTTTATGAATTATATGCACCCGAGTTATCAATTTTTCTTTTTTCTCAAGTGGATGGAAGCTGACAGTACGTTTTGGAAGGAATGCAAACCCTTTCTCTGTAGTTAAAATCCACTGCCGAAAGCCATCTCTTTCATCTAAGAAAAAGATTAATATGCACGTTCATACATCCTATCACACAATTTCCATTACTACAACGAAAAAAAAAATCTGTTTTCTTTTCAGTTGCCTTTGAAGACTCTTTGACAAGTAGATTTCAAAAACAAAGATTTAAAAATCTGCTGTTTTCCTGGTGAAGGACATTTGCATTTTTTCACTGAAAGGAGCTGGTTTTTCTCATGGCTCACTCCTCTTTGGTACTTGATGTTCTAATACACAAAAAGCTTGATCGTCTTTGTTCAGCTAAAATATCTTTAATTCATCCAACTTCAACTTTCCAAAAGGTATGCATGGTGTTCTCCTCTGCAGGTGGGGTTTGCTGTGTTTAAATGCCTTGGTCTGAGTAGCTGTCATGATTCATATGATTAAAAACACTTGGCCTATCCATCAAGAATAATGACTAATTCTCTTTGGCCTTTCTAATATGTAAGATAACTCATAAGTGAATTGTAGCAGTTTTTTTTTCTCTTTAACAATATATATTTATCAAAGAGGAATTGGCAGCAACACACTTGAGATTTGTTTTAAGAAACAAATAGTAGAGCAAGGATTCAGTCAAAACATGTTTATAATGAACAGTGCAGATCAATTAAGAGTTTTAAATGACAATTTTTAAAAAGGCTTTATTTACACAAAATATAGGCCTGGACACCTTTTAAAGAGAAGGCTTTAGAATCACACTGTCATTTACAATAGACCTGACCTTTTTTTTTCAGATAAATAAGGATTATTTTCTTTGTTTAGGTCCAAGGAAAAACAAATAAAAGGTAAAGGAAATAAAGGGAATATATATAAGGCAAACATTTCTCATTTTTGCATTATATCTTATGAATTAATTAAATTGTGGCCTTTGTTATTATAAATGTAATGATTCATTAAACTATATTATGTAATATATTTTGACTTTTATGATTGAATTTTTATAACTCAGTACTGTCACATGTTCTTATGTAAACTTTGTAAAGCACAACAAAATTTACAGCAAAAAAAAAAAAAAAATTGCACACCAGAAAGCCAAAGGCATCAAAACTGATTTATTATAGATAGGTGGATAGCATACAGTTAACCTTCCAAAATATTTTTATTGTTCTGAGTTGGTAATTATATTAAAGTATCCTTTGGAATAGAAACTCAAAATTTAACTTCCCTTGCAGCAAAAGCTGTTTGAAAGTGCCATATTATTCATTAAGCATTAATTAAAGAACAGCAGGATAATTAGTAGGATCATCAATATTACAAGAAACATTAGATTGCTCCAGAAGGGGGCAATTTAACCCGAAACACTTTAAATTTTCTCAAGTAGTACAGCTGAGAGATTAGGAAAAAAAAGAAACCCAAAAACTCCTCTTAGAGGACGCAGACTTTAAATCATTGTCTGGAAAGAAGGATTTTCCTGTATTTATTTTTTTTTAGGGTAAAACAATAGGACTCAGGCTCAGCAACTCCCCACAGGTGCAAATAGCCTGTTACAGAGAAGGCAAACTCTTCTCCTGGGAAGGAAATAATCAGTCATTGCGTCCTATGTAGATCTGATTAATATTGCACAGCGGGGTTGAAATCACTGAAGATTTTCCGCAAGTTTTATACTCAAGGCATCAATTCATAAGTAACCATTCTATTTGAAAGTGAGCCATCGCTTAGGGTTTTCTATCAGTATCTGATCAAGCGCACTCTCCGTTAAACCTCTAGATAACATTTTAGGAACAATATTGGTGAGTATATGAGAATAGCCATGCCCTCCATATTTCATCAGACGATGCTTTGTGTGTATGTCATGGGCCATCAGAATTCGATCTCCATAGCCTTCATCCACCAGGAAACGCACCCTGTGAAAATATTAACTCATTAGACGCCATTTGTCTCACATGTTAGAATTTTGGGGGGCTTTAAACTTCTTGCTCCTAAACCGATCATGCTTGTCCTGAGGATACTGCCGTCCACTGTGACATGTGTACCTGGAGACGCTTCATAAATACTGTGTGGTAATGATAAAGATATTGCTGCCTCCGAGGAGGAACAAGATCCTTATTCCACGCACACAGAAATTTCCAGCCTGTGATATTTATGACAATGCTTGGCAAGGCTGCATTAAAGATAGATTCTAATAGGATCTGCCAGCTCAAATGAATGACCACTTTAGCATGTCACTAAATAACTTGGTTCTGGTTTTGTATTCAGCTGTTCTCTCCCAGATGTCGGTCTTAGTAGGCCCAGTTTCTCTCTCTCATTTTCTCCAGCACATAAAATCAATGGGTATTTGGGATGAAAATATGGAAACAAAAGGAATCTTCACACAAACAAAACCCTCCGAGTAAAATCAGTTGATTTGTGAGTGAGTGCCCTGTGATAGCAGCCAGAGTGAGTGAAGTCAGCTTGACAAAAGCACCACTGTATTCTGAGCATTTACTTCTCTGAAATGTATGGGAATTTTGACTTAGTAGTAGTCTCTGAGTACTGGATTAAATTGAGCAAAATAACCCATAAAAAAAAAAAAAACCTTTATTCTGTCTTCTTTTCCTGTCAACAGGATTGTTAAAATAATGAGCTGTTCCTTTAAATGTATAGTCAGTTGACTAAAGGACAACTTCCTGACAATTGTCTAAAAATGTAATCCTCTTTGCTTGGTTAAATGCAGTAATCTGTAGTGTGAGTCACCTCCCGACAGCCGCCATCTGTGTATGTCTGCACCCTGGGCAGCGTCTACCCTCACTTCCAAGGGTCTCTGATAGCAGAGGTGCAACTGGCTGGCGCGGCACATCGCTGGGATTCTCATACAGCCTTGTGAGTCCCACATGGATAGAAGGGAATTGATAGTGCCTGCCTCCAGGGCCCGATTATTTGAAAGGCATCATTTTTCCTTTTTTTTTTTTTTTCCATAGATAGCATTTCTTGGGATTCTGGGGCATGAGTTCTATTGAACAACTACTATGCTAAGTAAGATGTGTGACACAACACACACACACACACACACACACACACCCCTCAAGCATAAGGCCCTGGCCTCTGAGAACATACATTCCTTAATAAATTAGATTAGACCTTAAATTTGCAGCTCAAAGGGGTTTGAGTGTCACAGTAGAAGAGCCGCCTGGGTGTTTTGTCTGTAGAAATCAGAGCTCCTGCCATACGGACCCCAGGCCTGCCCTACATGTGCATGGAATTCCATTTCTTCCTGATTTTTTCCAAGCATTTCCCCAAGTTTTAAATGTCCTTTCCTTATCTGAAAATTGTGATGTCTCATTACCATGAAGGCATATGTATGAATAAACAAATTCCTGTAAGGTGCCTTTTAGCACAACTTGAAACACAAAGTTAGCAAATTGGGAAGTGGTAAAGAAGGCATATGGTGAATAAGATACACTTATTTAAAAATGAAACTTTTAGAACTCCCTAAAGTCAAGGATGAGGAGATTGTCTCATGAACAGAATAATATTCTAGCTCTAGAAGCACAGTTCCATCCTGACTACCAAGGAAATCTGCCTAGTCATGCCACACCAAAGAGATCATTTCACATGTTTTTGCAACTACGTGGAAGAACAGGAGTTACAGAGATGCCGCCAGAAGGGAGGAACCACTACAGATGAGAAGACAAAAAATCACAGTAATTATAGCAATACAAATGAGTTAGTGTTTTGCAAACAAATATTAGAGAGAGACTAGAAAGTGTGAAAAGGCAGAGATATAATAAGATTTGAGAAATGGAGCATAAGATTGAAAACAGGTGTTAGACACAGAATTTCTGGTGCCGGAAACCAGAGGTAGGCAGAAGCATGCTTCCGTGTTCTGGAATCTCAGAGCTTTCACACTACTATGGTTAAAAAAGGATTGCAGATCAATGATAAAATCCAAGTGCTCATGACGGGGGACAATGAGTTAGTGGGTCAGACGCAGTCAAAAGGGTCGTTCAGCTCTTGACATGAAATGGTCAGGTGTGATAGGCGGCACACGCCAGCACCTGGCAGGCTGAGGCAGGAGAGCTGAGAGTTCACGGCCTTCCTGGGTTACATAGCAAGTTTAAGGGAAGCTTGGAAGACAGTGAAACCCTGTCTGAGAAAAAACAAAGCTAACAAACAAACAAAAACCAACATGAGCTGTGCTTGTGTAAAGTAACTCAATGCAAAATTTTAATTTAAGGAAGATTAAGCTTACGTACATACACATACACGCACCTATACACAGAATAGCACAAATATATATCATATATATGCACATATACACTTTATATGTAAAACTTTGATGAATTTTCATACGTTCTGAATGTTGATATTTAACACAATAAAAGAATCAAAATTAAATTCTTAAACTAATAGTTAAGAGGATCTAAGCGGGAATGAATGGGAAGCCTTTTTTTATATCTCTATTGGCTTGCCCTTAAAGATCTCACCTCTCAAATGAGATGAGATCTTTATTCCAGAAGGTCTGGAAATCTCATGGAAGGATTAGGGGTGCAAAACACACACCTCACGGCCACAGAGCGGTTTAGAAAAAGGAAACAGATCCTAAGGCACACTTCCCATGTCCAAGAGGAGCAGAGCTGAGGACATTCATCATGAAGTCACATCTGTGATGTGAAAGACAAAGAAGACCTACCGCACAACCTTATTTCATATTCCAGCTGTCTTTGAGCAAAGAATATTCACCTCTTGAGTAGGGCCCCAGGGAAACCTGTTGGCTTACATTCATAGTGCTTCTGAGCAAATAAATTAAAATCATAAAACAAATGAAACAATAAATCTATTTGCCACATCACTGGTGTAAGTGTTAAAAAAAAAAGACCTAGCTTTACTGGTTAAGTCATAGCAGTTTGCTCACAGAGTGGCTGCCGCCTTACATAAGGAGAGTAACATTTATCATTGAGCTTTCTCTCCCATGATATTAAACTTCAAGCATATTTTATTGTTACTGAGGTCATGGAGGAGGAAATTCTTACTGGCTCAGAATCATTCTCTCTTCCCCAGTGTGTGTCTGTTTAACCATCTATAACTTCAGTCTCATTGTTTCTGGACATTATTTCTCTATTATAGTTTTGTTTACTTCCATTCTAATGCGTTCTCTACCCTTATAACCATGTACTGGACCTTGAAATCATGAAGAAGTGTTTTTTCTCTGAAATCTCAACCTTCACTTTCAGACTCCGAACACACGGTTTCTTTCTGCTTTTTCCATTCACTCAAGTATCTATGCACCCACTTCACAAAGGCCTCTAGTATTTGCCCTGCTCTTTCCTTCCTATTTATCTCCCTGTTTCTCTCTCTGTCCTTTTTCCTCCAGCTTGGACTCCATAGCCCTCATCTCTATGCCTTATCTGTCTCTGTGGTTATCACCCACATTTCTCCAACACACTCTAACCCTGAATCTCTCTAACTGTTCACATTTTCTGTTTGTACTCACAAACTTCTCTGGACCTACTACCAAAACCCAAATTTTTTTAAAAAAACAATCACCAAATCACATCCACTGCTAGCAACATGCAGTCATGCAATTACGATTTCCAGCCCCAGTGGGGTCACACACACGTGACCTTGTTAGCATCTCCCTCATTCACTTGACAGCCATCCCTAGACTTCATCCTCCTTTACAAGGTCCTACCCGAATCTACTCCTTTCTCAGGTGACCATGTGTACCCCACAGGGACGCATGGCCATGGGTCTCAATGTCCTGTTCCTCTGGCTAATACATTTATCTGCATTCATACCATTGCTTTCTTTGTGCTCTCATTTCTATGGGGAAAATATCCTTTCAATCAACTTTCTATTTGCTCCCCAGATTCCATGTATTTGTCCCTTTAGAATCCTATCTCTACATTTCTTATCTCTCCAGACTTTTTGATGTCAACATCTATTGAACACTTCTACTGCACCAAACACTCAGATAAAAAACTACATATATGTCAATCCATGTAATTCTGTCACAAACCTGTAGAACGGCACTCCTTCCCTTGGATCTACTCCATTTCTGCCTCTCTTCTTTCGCTCACAGCCACATAAATTTCTCAGTTCTTAATAAAAGTTTCCCTCCATCCTGTATTTCCTAGTTCAGCCGCACCTACCTGCTTCCCTGTGTTAACATACTTTTTGAAAGAGTAACCACCAGTCTTTCACATTGTTATGGTTGATACATTGTGTCAACTTGAGGAGTCTAGAGGTTTGGCTAAGTGACTCAGCAGTTTTACATCCTGGAGTGCAAAGGACATGCCCCTCCTGTTCTAGGACGTTGTTCATTGTGTCAATGTGAGAAGTTTAGAAGGTTAACTATGTGAGTGCTGCCCCCTGGGTGAGGGTAACCTGCTTACAATATGAGAGAGGGAAGGAGGCTTGCATGCACTGCCATTCCTCCCTTTGCTCATGTTGCTTTGCTGTCTTCTGCCTTGGAGCCAGCCAAGTATGGACTGAACCCTCCACAAACTGTAAGCTAAATAAACCTTTCCTTCCTTCATTTTTGGCGTTGGGTATTTTGTCTCAGCAATGAGAGAAAAGTAACCAAGACACACCTCTTGCTCACCTTTGACTCATTCCCCAAACCTTTTCTACCGAGACCCACACTTACTAACTGGGAAAGGAGACCCGTCTAACTATGAAATCCAATGGTTGCTTTTCTGTCTTGATGTCACTTGATACTCCCAGCCCTTCTGTGAAAGCATCTCTCCACAACTTCAATCAGAACATCATTCCATGATTTTACCCATTTGAGAACTTCTTCACCCATCCTTGGATGATTCTGCCTGTGTCCCAGGGTTAGTTCTTATCCTTCTCTCTGAGTAATCACTTCCATTCCCACAGTTTGAGCTATCACTGATATGTCCAAACTTATTTTTCAGCCAGAATTTCTGATCTGGGTTTCATATCCTACCATAGGGCCCCTATGGTAGGATAACATGGTTGGATAACAACACTCGGATAATCTTGAAGTGTTTCTTCTCAATCCGAAATCTATTTCTCCTCCCAGATCCCCTAACTTGGTTCATTCAATCTTCATATTACTATGCTATCAAGATCCATCCCACTGACCACCCTTGGCTTCTGAAATTTTCTACTTAATTGCAAAGAATGAGTCATACAACTCTTTGCTTGGTCACACATTAGATCCTTTGGGGAGATTACATTTTATATGATACCGGGTGTTCAGCCACTGCACTCTTAGCACTTAAGTTATAATCACCCCTTAATGAAAGTTTAAATGAGGCGTTTCACATATTAACCATGGAAGGTATGATTTTAGTGTGGTCAGCCTGAGAAAGGAACGGCTTATTTCACTAGGACTAAAGGAGGAAAATATTTTTTTGTTCTCTTCCTCTCATGGCAGGGGTTGAGCATTATCCATGTTTCCTGTCAGTTGCCCATCTGCACTGAACTTCGAAGGCTCTGCTAAGCTTTAGCCTACTTAGGATGACTCATTTTCTCCTTGAAATAATATAGAGAGATTTTCTCCCTGCAACAGCTCAGATATACTTCTCTCTGCAATTCTGTGCTTCAGCCTGCTTTTTGTTTTCCGAATCTTTGCTAATACTCACCCAGGTATATGACGATCAAAAAGGGATGGTAAAAGAGAATGCTGTGAGAGATGTAACCATATTTACCTTCTAATTCTTTTGTTATCATCCGGCATATCAATCTCCTGGTTGAACTGGTAATTAAGAAATTCAGTACCAAAGAGATCATATTCCAAGTAGCACCCAAGCTGAGCAAACTCCAGCAGCTCCTTTTTATCAAATATAGTCCTAGAGACAATAAGAGAGGCATATGCTTATTATTAAGAGTGTATTTCTCACGTCACAGATGAGAAGTTTTAAGCATGCTATGTACTAGAATATAGTTTAAATCAAATAAAATAACTTCTGAGGTAGCTCTTATGATGTGACTATAAAACAGTGAGTTCTATTTGTTACCAGAAGCAAGAGAATATATCCATCCAAAAGGGAGCTTTCCTTTGAACTTGGGACTATAGATTTACTTTAAATATGCTGCCACTACTCAAAAATAACTTTGTAATTCTTCTTTAGAATTGTCTTTAGGATGCATCCCACATTCTTCTAAAACTCCCATGTAGTTTGGGGTGAACAAGAAAGTTTCACTGTAATGTAGCAGGATGATTTTCTTATGAAGATTATAGAGTGGTTCTCAAATGAATTCCAAAACCTTATAGGACTATCATTCCAACTTTTTTTTAAAAAGGGACAATACTCATATAAATATATGTTTTGGTGTGCTTATATTATTTTAATTTAATTAATTAATTTTTTTTGGTACTGGGAATCGAACTCAGGACCTTGTGCTTGCCAGGCAGGTGCTTGTGCCGCTGAGGTATATCCCTGGCCCTGGTGTGTTTTAAAATAAAATTTATTGTTTTATAGTAAACTTCATGGGTGTCTTTTCATTACAATAGGTATTATATTAGGAATATCATTATTTTAGGAAGAACTGTGTGAACAAATGGGAAAAGAGGGAAATGTAGGATAAGAAGAGGCTACAGACAGGGGAAGAGAATGCAGAGCAAAGTAGGTGAAAATTCAGGCTGGGTATGGCAGTGCACACATGTAATTGCAGCACTTGAGAGGCTGAGGCAGGAGGATCACTGTGAGTTCTAGGTCAGCCTGGGCTACAAAGTGAGTTCAAGGCCAGCCTGAACTGCATAGTGAAATCCTGTCTCAAAAAAAAGTAAGTGAAAATTCATCAAGAAATTTATATTACAACAACTAAAAAGATGTATTAAAATAACCCTAAAATATCATTGCAGATATTCAATCACATAGATAAATAAGAAACAATTAAAACATCCTATCAACATGGAAAAAACAGAGAAAAGCACTCCATTAGTCATTGAACAAGGGGAGCCAAGGTCACAGAAAAAAGACGATTGGGATCCAAACTTGGACTGAAGCAGAGTTCAGAATGTCAGACGATCATTGTCTTGTTAGGCTTTTATCCATGCTGATATTTATTAGTTTGGTAACTATGGGATGCAAAGATTAAAGCACTATTATATGTCTATAAATCTGCTTCTAAGAAGTCAGAAGTATTTTCAAAGTCTTTCTTCCAAACCATGGGAGGACCAATTAAGAGTCCGTGTGTCATAAGTATGAGAGGGTTCTGCTTCCCTGGGATGCTTCTTGGGAGTTGACTATTGACTTTCACTCTGAGCTATCATATTATGGCTGGCTCTTTTTTTCCCATGTACTAGTTGAGCACAATTTATAGTCTACAATATTGTTTTAGGCAGAGAGGCTAAAAAAACTTTCCTTTATACACCAAAATGTGCATTAGCTCTATGTTATCTTCTATTAATACTACTCCTTTCCCATCTTACCATGGAGACCATCTTCTGCTTGCAATATTGCTGGGCTAAAAGAATATGTGTCTTTCTATAGTAAATATATTCTGTTTTCCCCAAAGAATCATGCTTAGTAACAAACTACACACAATTAAAATAACGCAAGTGCTTTACACTTATTATTTCACTTAATATGTTCCACAATCTTATCAGCTCTCAATTTCACCAATGAAGAAGTTAGAACTTGAGGACAAGATAGTCATTCAAAGTGATACACTTTCATTTCAAGGTTGGAACCTTCCTTGACCATCATACTGTGCAATCATTCTGTATTGCTAAATTTTCTAGACATTTTCCAGAATTATGTACATTGAGTGTGTACACAGTGTATTTTAATTTTTACTTTGAAATTTGATTCCCTCCCCACAGTACCCCCAAACTACACTTGCAAAATTTGGAATTTACCATCAAAAGTTAGTATGGCGGTAAGGAATTGAATAGCCCAGAAAGGTAAGAAAAGGATTATTACTCTGTGGAAGTCTTTAATTGGTAGGTTAGAGTGAAACTGCATATAATAAGCAAGAGCAAATCTCTACAAATATTTTGGACAAACTGAATGACATGGTCAAAGCAGAAGAAACTATGTTAGCTATAACTATTATTTAATTTATTCCTGTGAATGCCACATTACTTTGAGCCCCTTACAACAATTAACATGTGCAAAACACTTGTCACTAGATCAGATCAGCTGCCTGCTCTAGCTTCTACTGGCTGTCAAATAGTTCCAGCTTAATGTGTCTTATTTTGAACCTTTCATTCAACATCGAAATTGGTTGCTCCAACACCCTTCACTATCTCAATTGATGGCAACTGTGCTCTGAGGTGAGCATATGACACTATAAACCCCTAGTTTTAAGGCTTGGTCACTATCTCATGGGACTGCTGGGAGGTGGTAGAATCTTTAAGACATAGATTCCACTGGGAGGTCTTTTGGTCACTCAGTGTGTGTCCTTGAAGGATATAGTCTTTTTTTCCTCTTTTACCATCCAGCCATGAAATGACAAGTTTGCTCCACCTTGATGTACCCTTTCCCTAACCCAACCAGAGAATTAAAAACAGTATGTCCATGGGATCATGCACTGGACCTCCCAAACCATGAGCCAAAATAACCTTTTCTCTTTACAAGTTGATTCATCTCAGGTATTTGCTACAGTAGTGGAAAGTGTAACAAAACTCTATTCTAGCTGCTCACACCAAAATCCTTGTGGTCCTTCTTGGTCACTTTTCTCCTCTTACATGCTACATTTAATCTATTGGGATAGGCTTTTGGCTCAACCTTGAAAACTGTCTCCTTTGCTACCTTCCTGATCCAAATCACCACAGTTTCATGAAGTCAGCTTTTGTTGCTGGGATAAAATACCAGTGACACGTGCAACTTAAAGGAGAAAAGGGTTTATTTCTGGCTCACAGTTTCCATGATTTTGGTCCCTACTCAGCTGGCTTCATAGAAAAAACAGCACAGTGGAAGAGCCTGGTGAAGGAAAGCCACTCACATCGTGGCAGTTGGGAAGCAGAAAGACAGGGAAATGCCAGATCAAGAGATCCACCTTCCAAGGCAGTGTCTTCGGTGACCCACATCCTCCAACTGGAACCCCCTCCTCCTAACAGCAAGATCAGCTAGGAATTTATCAATGGATAAATCCACTGATGAGTATAGTGCCCCAATAACTGTTCACCTTCTGAAAGCTTCACCTCTGATCACATGAAACTTTGGGGAGACATTTTAGATCTAAACCGTAAGATCCCTGCAGTCTCTTTCATTGTGATTTCATGAAAGTCTCATTCAAATTGAGTGGAGACAATGCCAAGGACTGGATAAAAAACTGTGGTCTTTTTATACAATGGAGTACCACTCGGTCATAAAGAAGGATAACATTGAGATTTTATAGGTAAATGGATGCAACTTGAAATCATACTCATAAGTAAAATAAACCAGATTCACACGTGTAAACACTGTACTGTCTCCTTAGTGAGGAAGCTGAAAGAGTAAATAAGATCCAAGATATACAATAGATATTGTAAAGTGGGAAGAAATTGTTCAACAGGAAAGAGAAACTGGGATGAGGGAAGGGAGAAAAGAAGGAAGGAAAAAGCAAAACAAAATACACACACACACACACACACACACACACACACACACATACGAGATAGTTAAGATCTTTATACTACTAATTTCTCTCAGTTCATTGAAAAGAAAGGTTTGTCCTAATATTGTTTGAACAATTAAATGCCTATATCTTGTACTGAAAAATAATTTAAAGGCAACAATATTCAATGTATTAACCATTGTCACTCTCCTATTATCTTGTTTTGAAATTTTGTTTTACATTTTCTCTCATTAAAATGAAATTTAAAAGAATACCCCCCTCAAAAGTGAGTGGGGACCTCGATTATCCACAATGGTATATAATTGTTACCTATACTGTAAAGGTTGTCTGAAGAATTTTACCATAGAGAGAGGTCCTCTTCTAGAGGGAGACTACCACTGATAATAAGATTCATCTAAAATAGTTCCTGGGAATTCTTACCCCATAGAAAAACATATGGGAATTAGTGTGACTGAGAGAATTGGTAAACTCTATAAAACAGTCTTTAAAAATTTATAGTCATATGTAGAGAAGAACATTTCTTTACAAGGAAAGAATTAAGTTAATATTCTTGGCATTAAAAATGTAGTTGAAAAGGATGGATAGACAAAGTCACTTTCATTATATGACAATTTGCGATAAAAATATGGTTATGTGCTATGTATATGTACAAATTCCTAAAGATGAATGTAATTCTGTATAACAAACATGTACTACTAATAAAAAGTGTAAATCAAAATTTAAAAAATACTACAGTAAAAGACACACTGCCATTAATCCTCAAAATACTCCCCTTGCTTCAAACACACTTATCTCACTGTTCTTGCCATTTCCTGAAGCAGTTCTGGAAGTCCTCTTTCCTGAGCCTCTTTATGGGGTATGGTAAAAAAATCCACTCTATGCTATCTGCCAAGTGGCATTCAACAGAAAGACTCATCAGAACATTATGGCATATTCTTACTCATCTTATTCACATGAAATGTTTTTAATCAATTCAAGACATCAAGAAAACCAGCACAGTACAAAACTAAAAGACATCCAGGAAAGAGCACTTCCAGAACTGCTTCAGAAAGTGACAAGAATGAAGGGATGTGTGTCTGAAGTGAAGTGGGTATCCCGAGGGGGACTGTAATGGTTGATACATTGTGTCAACTTGAGAACAGAGAAGTTTAGAAATTTAACTAAGTGACTCAGCAGGGGGCCAGGGTCCTCACTTTGTAAACATCCTGAGTTTGTGGAAGAGAAACCCCTGAGATGGTGTGGGCTGAGAGCCCGCATACAATAAAGGGAGGGAAAGAGGCTT